CCTCCCGCCCTATCTCCTCCTCCTCCTCCTGCGCCGCACCAAAGGCTGGCTCGCTCATCGCCTCGAGAGCGGCTCGCAAGCGCCCGGCCCCATCCCCGAGACCGCCCTCTTCGCTGCCAGCACCCTGCGCCGCCGCCACCAGCGCCGCTGCCACCGATGGAGCCCTGCGAAGCGGCTGGTGCAGCCTCGACACGAAGGCGAGCAAGGCGGCGCGCCGAGCAGGAGGCAGCCGCGCCGCGCCGCTCACCGCCTCGCGCAGGCGCAGCAGCAGCAGCGGCGTCGGGCCGCTCGTAGCGGAGGCTTGGGTGGCGAGTGTCGGCACGAGTGCGAGCAGCTCGTGGGCGAGATGAGCTTGCCGCTCGTCGAGCGACGCGGAGAGCAGCAGGGCGTCGAGAAGCGCCACGGGCTCCTCCTCCGCCAGCCGAAGCAGCTGGCCCACGAAGCGTGCGTCGGAGGGACTCGAGAGCACAGCACGGTTGAGGAGAGCCTGCGAGCTCGAGGCCTGGGCAGAGGCCTGGGCAGAGGCCATGTGTGCGCCCTACTCCCACTCCCGCGGCTGGTCGAATACTCTTCCTTCTGTTCACAGCCCTTGTTACTGAGAAGAAAATACCTCCTGTGGCGCTGTGTGCTTGTCTGTGAGAGGTTGAGGTGCGAGCCCTGGTGGCCCTGGGGATGATGGGGGGAGACTACCCGCGGGCCTAGAAGGCCCGCGCGCAGGGGGGTGGGGCATTGAGACCGGTCATGAATGAGTGCGCGACACGCATGTTGCGAGCAGCGTTGTTGATGTTTTGCGCGTCGCCACAGACGGCGGCGCGCGAGAGCTGTTGCGAGTGGTGCTGGACAAAGCCCCGGGCGCTGCCGGAGAGACTGTGCCGTAGTCGGACCACCCCCGCATGCCGCCCCGTCACTCACTGAGGGCCGCCTCGCAGGAGAACGGGCATCGTGAAGAGGTCTCGTACGCTACGGTGGGGCGCACCGACGGCGTTAAGGTTGCTCTCGTGGGAAGCGAGCCATATCCTCGGAGGGACGCGCTTTTCACCTGCCTAGCCTGGTCCATTAGGTGCTCCTTGTGGGACTCGACCCATCGCAGTTTGGGCTGAGCGCGCACCACTTTAGTGACGACGATTTTGGCGCGACGAACTTTCTGCTGTCACGGCACACGTCCGATCTGCGCCCGCGCAACGAGACGTTCCTACACGTGGACCGAGCGCAGCAGGTGAGTCTAGGGCCTCTTGCACCCTTCAGCCTGTTTCACTGCCCACAACTGCTGAGGGCTCACTGAGGCACGTTTGCCCCTGCCCCCCCGCCGACTCATCAGGGCGTCGGCGGCATCGATAGCTGGGGTAGCTACGAAACGCCGATGGCGCAATACACCATTCCGTACGAGACGATGAGCATGTCCTTTGGGGTCGCCGTGTCCTCGCCGCACACTGCAGAACGGGAGAAGCCGCATGCGCGCGCCCGGCGGCTCCAGAGCTGGATTCAGGCGGTGGCCGGTGCAGCTGCGCAGGGGTAGTGAAAAAATTCTGTTTCGGACTTTTCAAATACCTGCGGCGCCCGACACCGCCGGCCGCGGCCGCGCGCGTGTGGGCCGCACAGCGATCACCATGGCGGGGGGTTCGCGCTTCGCGGTTCGCGCCCGGTGCCTGAGGTGCTGTCAGGTGATCTGTCGGGCTGTCAGGCACTGTCAGGCGCTGTCAGGTGCCTCAACCCAACAGTGCTGTGTCGGTCACGTTAGGGCCGCTGCGCAGCGAAGGAGCCCCTCGGATGTCAGACTCTGCTGTCACAGACTGCCGCAGAGACGTGCTCTGTCAGGCTGTCAGAGAACGTGCTGGGTGATGCTCTGATAAACCCTCCGGATCTTCGACAAAGGTCGGATATTTCTTTTTTCAAAGTGCAAGGTGTGAATAAGAGGTTTATGATAGGGCTACTACGACGAACTATGCGGCAATCGACTGGGCGCCTGGCGCCCGACCACCCCCGCGCAAAGACCTCGTAGTAGCCCTCCCCGTAACCGACTTGGCCGGACTTGTCCAGGCCGCTGTCGCCGCGCAGATCGGCGCGAGCAGTCGCTCGAGGGGCTCTACTGGCTGGCGGTGCTCAAGGGGAAGGCGTACACGCTGGCCGAGGACACGGTCGTCAACACCGACACCATCCCCGCGGGCTATCTCGTGGTCAAGGCGCAGTGGCTCAGGCTCGAGCAACGCGAGTGCGAGGGCAAGCTTCGCTCCTACACGCTGCTCGAGGCCGAGACGCTCATCATCGTGAATCACATGGTGCGGCTGGCGGGCTTGCGCTTCTCGCCCGGCCCGGGCGGCCCTGCGGACCGCCAGCTGAGGAGCGCGCGCGAGAAGCTCTATTATATTGGCCTACAGACGCATTACTCGCTCGAGGCGTGCTGCAGTGAAGACCAGTCTTATTGAATTTGTTTGGAGGCGTCGATTTGTGCAAAAATGTGTGTTAGAGAGCGCTAGATGGCAAAATTTTCTTCGCCTCCGGCGGGGCCGCTCGCCGCGGGGCTAGAGAGTGACTTTTGTCGATGTCGGCTAGAAGTGCTGCACGTTTTTCAGAATTTCACCCTGCTGTCAACGCTGTCGGGCACTGTCCCAGCTCAGGCGCTGTCCGGGTTTGCTGTTTCACAGGCTGATGGCTGGTCACGAGACTCACGTGTGATCGCAGTGCAGACCACACACCACTCACCAGGTCACCAGAGGCTGCTCAGCGTGTGTCCGCGGGTGTGTAGAGCTCTAGAGAGGTGAGATCGTTTCGGGGGCATTACCCAAACCAAACAAGACTGCAACAAGAAACATGCTATATTGAGTACCGCGACACCGGCTAAAGAGAGAGGTGGACTACAGTACTCGAGTACAAGGATAGAACAGACGAGCGAGACGACCGAGAAGGGCCGAATGCAGAGGGTGGCGGGCAAGTCACGTAGACGCGCCTCAGTCCCGGATGAGGCCAAACTGGTCGCGCAGCACGGCGATGATCTCGCTGCGCGGGTCCTCCGACACGGGCAGCGGCTTGCCCGTGATCTTCTCCGCCAGGCCAACGTACCTGCGGCGCGGAGGGACAGAGCTCTCATACGATGCCGCCGCGCCACGGTGCGGGGCTGTGCGCGAGTGGCGCGGCGCACGTCTTCGAGACCGCCTCGAGGAATGCGCACGGCAGCGTCGTGTCGAGCGCCTGCCTCTCCTCCATCCGGTTCTTGTTGAGCAGGATGTCCGGGTCAGGGAAGTGGCCCTGCAGCAGCTTGCGGAACTCCTCCTTCGACTTCTCGACCACACGGCCGTCGGTGCGGTACGGCCCCCCCTCCCAGATGCGGCTCGAGTCGGGCGTGCCGACCTCGTCCATGTAGATGAGCTGCCTCTCCCCCTTAGCATTGGTCGCGTACCCAAACTCAAACTTTGTGTCGACAAAGATTTGGTCGAGGCCCGCCAGCGCCTGGCCACGGCGGGAAGGGGTGGGCGAAGGGCGAGGGGAGGCGGGGTCCGGGGCCGAAGCGGGGAGGGCGCTGCTTGGTGGAGGCGGGCAGAGGGCGCCTCGCTGATCGCCTCGAAGCCCTGCTTCAGGAGGCGCTCGTACACGTCGACG